GCAGCTGCTGGTGTCTCACTGAGTTATGTGCATCCCAAGTTCACTGGCTCCCAGTCAGCATAGTCACAGGAATTGCCCTTATGGCCTGACCGCCTTACAAATTTAGTTCAGGCCCCTGCCTGCTCTTTTTCTGCTGCTGATGGGGCTAACAGGAACTCAGGCTTCAGGGCAAAAGATTTCCCTCTGGCCAGGCTGGTCAAAATGTTCCCTCCACGGGCACCAGGAGAATTCTGTCCTGTGCTGTGTTCCCCTGGGCCAGGGAAGCCCTGAGTTTCAAAGCAAAGTTCCAAAATCATTTCACTGTCCCTCCCCCAGTCACACAGATCCTTTCCCCATTTGGCAGCATGGTGGCATGGGTGGCACAGGCAATGTGAGTGTCCTTTCTGTTCTCTGCTATCCCTCTTTCCTTGACACAATGTTCAAACCAGGTAGTATGATGGTTCACCTGATTTTTGGTTTTTCTGAGGGTGCTTACTTATATGGATGTTGTTGAGTTTGACGTTCCTATAGAGGGACAGTTGCTGGAGGTTTCTATTCTGCCATTTTGCTCCATCCCGTCCTCTGTTTTTTCAAATAGCTGTTCCCCGGCCTGTGGGTCACATGCTTGCAGGAGGAATAGACTTCCCAAGGCACTGGGGTTGGGGTGGGAGGGGTCTGGCCTGGCCATGTGACCTGTTTTGGCTAATATGATGTAAGAGGAAGTGATGCCTGGCATCTCTGAATGGAATCTTTGAGGCCATGGTGAAATTCTGCCTTCCCTCTCCTCCCTACATCCCAAAAGGGCACTGCTCCTTCAGTATACATTTTTGTACACAGAAGTTTTTGTAAAGAGCCTCAGATGGCACATCATCGGAGTGAGAAACACAGTCATCCCTCAGTATCCACAGAGGACTAGTTCCAGGACCTGCTGGGTATACCAAAATCTTCAGATGCTCAAGTCCTTGATATAAAATAGTGTAGTATTTGCATACACACCCCCCCCATATACTTTAAATCATCTCTAGAATACTTATTATACCTAATGCAATGTAAACAGTTGTTATATTGTAGTTTTAATTGTTCTTTTTTTTGTATATTCTTATTAACTTGGTTGGTTGGATCCATGAATGTGGAAACTCAGGCTGGGGAGGGTTGACGGCAACATGTTACTCTGGGTGCATATGTGCTTTGCTTGAGAGCCGCTGGAGTTCGGGGTTGTTTGTCACCACTATAAAGCTAGCCTGAGCTGACTGGTGATTCAGGTTTTTTTGAAGAAACTCTTGACAAGAAAAGCCCAGAAGTGGTCAAAGTGAGTGTTTCTTGTTCAAAACAAACACAGCAAGGCCACGGATTAGTCTGACCACTCGCTTTCGGGGGTATTCCCTTGTCTCCTTCCCTCGCCTCATCTCTGCTTGGGGAACCCCAATGAAAGGTCCCACTTCCAGCCTGGGTCTTTCCCTTGCCCACTTCCTCCCCAGGCCACCCCCTGCTGCAGCTGCCACAGCCAGTGTCTAAAGGTCTAAAATCCTAAGCACTGCGGACCCACAGACTCCTCCCAGGATCCCCCGAGGAGGGCACCATCCTCATCCCAGTCTTACAGACAAGGAAACTGGGGCTTGCAGAAGTAGAGTAACTTGCCCAAGGTCACACAGGCAGGAAAAGGCAAAGCTGGGATTCATACACAGGCTATGTGGCTTCCACTGTTGACCAGCATGCCACAGAAGACTAGTACGGAACCAGGAGAGAGCAAAGAGGTAAGAGCAGTGATTCAGCGTGGCAAAGAAACACATTTCCTGAAGCTTTCTTGTTGTTGTCTGGGTTTGCCCTGGTGGCACACATCAAAGGAATGAGACTGGGGAGAAGAGGAATAATATGTATAAGGAAAAAGCAAAATAAAACACATACAAATAGATGACATCTGTGTGTTTACGGAGTATATGAATGAATAATGAGTGAAAGAGTCAGGTTATGTGAAAAATATTTGGTTTTGGTTTGATTGTCTTGTCAGCAGAGTTGAGCTCTTTAATTGTTGTTGTTGTTCTGTTTTGTCATTTTTTTTTTTTTAAGAGACAGGGTCGTTCTCCGTCACCCAGGTGGAGTGCAAGGGTGCAGTTGTAGCTCACTGCAGCCTCGAACTCCTGGGCTCAAGTGATCCTCCTGCCTCAGCCTCCTGAGTAGCTGAGGCTATAGGTATGCACTACCACGTCCAGCTGTTTTAAAAAATTTTTTGTAGAGACAAGTTTCATTATATTGCCCAGGCTGGTCTTAAGCTCTTGGCCTCAAGTTATCCTCTTGCCTTGGCCTCCCAAAGTGCTGAGATTATAGATGTGAGCCACTGTGCTTGACGAAACATGAATTTTTAATAGTTTAAAAATGGAAAATGAGGTTCTATTACATGGCCCTGAGGGGAAGACAAGAACCCAAGGAGTCTATCCTTAATTGCCTGGGTTTGTCCCTTGGGCTTGACAAAAATTATTTGCTGGACCAAACTTTAGTCAGGCTCCTGAACCTGTTCTCAGGCCATCCTATAAAACCCAGTTTTAGCAAAAGAACCTTGTTCAGCTGGAACCCCCTCCCCCATCCTCAATATATAATTGGGTTTCTCATCTCCCAGGTGGTATCTGGTCACCCTGGCCTGTCTTCAGCAAGAATCCTGTTAGGCTGGTGTAGCCAGGATCCCCCTGACTCCTGATGTCTCCTCTTAGTAATTTTCCATCCACTGACCCCCCGTTGCTCCTTGGCTATATATTCATTTCCACTTGCTCTAGCTATATTCAGAATTGAGCCCAGTTCTGTTCAGAAGTCGCTTTTTCCCTAATAACTAAACAATAGTTCTGAGTGAAACTATTCAAAATATTCAATAGTTCTGAGTAAAACTATTCAAAACTATTCAATAATATTACTATTATTATTGTTAGTAATAACTAACAATAGTTCTGAGTAAGAATAGTCGCTTTTCCCCTAATAACTAAACAATAGTTCTGAGTAAAACATATTTTTAACACTTTACTTCCCAGCTCTGGTTTTTCTTTGATAGGTTCCTAATCAGAACATAGACATGGAATATGATGTCCTGGTTCCTAGGGGATGTAGTCGGATAGAGAGATCAGAAGTGACAACCTTGAAGGTTGGGGCAGGGAAGTGGGAAGAAAGCATGGGACAGAGGAGACAGGCAGAATTCCCGGACAGTCTGTGATGCAGCTTGATGCTCCTGTCCTCTGGGAAGCCTCCCAATCACCCTGCCCTCTAAACAACACTGCTACCACCTCAGGCTCCCAGAGGGTGGGCTCGTGTGAATGTGCTCAGCACACCCTCATCCCCACTTTCAGATACTTCCCAGTGTTGATGTTGTAATTCAAGAGCACATCCTCTTGGGTTTCTAAAGGATTATAGGTACTAGGAGCTGGCAGCTGATCCCTAAAAGCTTGGCTACTCTCAGGAAGTGGCAGGTCTACACCCTGCTGGCCCCACCTATCCATAAATAGATGGTCATTTCTCTCTCAAGAGGCCACAAGCACACCTAATTGCAGCCCCAGAAACATCTGCTGAGAATGCCTTCCCCTGGCCACAAGAGAAACAACCTGGGTTCTTAAAGAGCAATAGATGGCCCAAACAACGCTATTCCTTCTGAAGCTATCAGAGGATGCTGGATACTTGGTCTGAGAAAACCATGTGAAAATCCCCACATTTTCTTCCCCCACTGAACTCCACAGGGTGGAGGGGTTGTTCAAATGTACTTTACAAATGAACAACTTTCTCCCCAACCCCACACTCCTCAGACCCCTACCCAGTGGTCAGACTCCTAGAAATTCACCAAGACCCAGGTCCTCTGCTTCTTGCTGGGCACATGGCCGGACTGCATTTCCCAGTCTCCCCTGTAGTTAGGTATGATCACATGACCAAGTACTAGACAATGGAATGTGGGCCCATTAAGATACACACACACACACACACACATATGTATGTATATATACACACACATACACACATAAACACACTTCCAGGTCTTGGGGTAAGACCCACCCACAAGCCTTCTCTGTGCTCTTTGCCCTTTCCAGGCTATGGGCTTGGAGTTGCCCTAGGAAACTGGAGGCTGTACACTGTAGGTGGCAGAGTGCCCAGTAGTTGGCGTCCCTGAATGTTCCCTCCTCACTGGCCAAATATCTTGCATGGGAGTGAGAAACCAGCTTTTGGGTTAAAGTTGTTATGCTTGCTTGTTGTTGTTGCAGCAACTAGTTAATTGTCCCTGCTCACACGTGTTCTCCACTGCACGACTCCCCATCTGAAGTTCCCCTCCCTCCACCTGAAGTTAGCTCCGAGAAGTAGGGGGGACATCTTTTTTTAACTGTGTCCTGAGCAGTGAATAGTGCCCAGCATGGAGTGTATACTCCACAACTATCTGCAGAATGCATGAATGAGCAAGCTGTGTTTTGACCATTCTGCACAGGTCTGGGTCTCTATGGGAAGAAAACCTCATTGCCAGGAAAAGAAACTTGCTTCCACTTTCAGTTTCCAGGCCACATCTGGGCCTAGAAAATTAACTTTTTTTTTTCCTTCTCCCATAGGTGGTGGGTCTTATTTTTTTCCTTTTTTTTAAAACGTTAGCTATGTACATTAATGCAATCATGGGGTACAGTGTGGTATTTTCATGTACAATTTGAAATATTTTCACCCAACGTGTTTAAATAATCTTTTTTTTTCTTTTTTTTTTTTTTTTTTTTTTTTTTTTGAGACAGAGCCTCAAGCTATCCCCCTGGGTAGAGTACTGTGGCATCACAGCTCACAGCAACCTCTAACTCCTGGGCTCAAGCGAGTCTCCTGCCTCAGCCTCCCAAGTAGCTGGGACCACAGGCGCCCGGCTATTGTTTGGTTGCAGCCATCATTGTTGTTTGGTGGGCCCGGGGCTGGATTCGAACCCACTACCTTAGGTGTATGTGGCTGGCACCTTAGCCACTTGAGCCACAGGCACTGAGCCTCATTTTCTTAGTTATTGTGTTAAGATGTGAAAATTAAATTTTAATTGAACTCACCATTGGGACCAGCTTGAAGGCTTCCTCCTCTTTGACACCCTCCCCAAGGTCCCCCTGCATCCTCTGTGGTCCCCGCCCAGAGGTCTCTTTGCAGTTACACCTGCTACACTGCACAGCAAGAAATGTCTGCCTCTCCTGCCCCAGCATGTCCCTTGTCCTCCAACCAGACTGGGAGACCCCTAAGGCCAGGACTCTGTCAGAGTCTGACACTGGGGACAAGTGTTTCTCGAGAAGCAAGCTCTGTAAAATATTTAATGAGCCTTCTTCTTTAAGTCTTTTCACTCTACTTCTAACCAAGGGTAAAAAGCTTCCCACAACAACCTGGATCCATTTACAAAGGACAAAAGTCAGTGCTTGCAATAATCCGTGGATTCTTCTAATAGGCCTTTTGGATCTTAGTACATAGCATGTGCACACATGGACCCTGAGGATGGGGAAACTGGCACAGATGGCTGAGTCCAGCTATCCACAAGGGGCCCAAACCTGGCTGCATTGCATATCAGTACAAACTGGGGGCCCCAAAACATTTTTCTACTGAGGCTTATCTCATGCCTGCTTCAGGTAACCCTGCTCACACACAAGATTTCTGTCTTTCAAAGCACTTGCCCATTTGGCCCTCAAAAAAGCAATGCGAGACAAACAGGACAGTGACTACTGTGTCTATTTAACAGATAAGAAAACTGAGGGTTAGAGAGGTGTAGTGACTCTAGTTCAATAACAACCTTCGAGCACATTGGGTTAGTTGACCCACTCAGTGACTTTCTTAGGGTTAGAGAGGTGAAGTGACCCAGTTCGTGTGCTGAGCTTACACTAGGACTCAGGGGCTCAGACATTTCCTTTCCTTTTTTTTGTTTGTCTCCAGCATCCTTGCTGAGCTAATGAGAAAACTTCATGTGGCCACAGGAAGCCCAGTCAACAAGCCAAGACGAGCGTAAGCGGAAACTAACATTGACTTTTGAGTGATAAACTGAATTCAAAATAAGCATGGCTAAGTCACTTCATTTGAAAGTTTTCCCCCCTTCTAATTTTATTCTTCTTTTTCGTTCTTATTTTAACACGTACTTAAAAACCCTAAGAGCTCCTTCTAATTTTAAACACCTCCTGTGTAGACAAGAGAGTCTGTGGTTAGCCGTGCAGCATTTGCTGCTGCTGTTTGCTGCTGTGCGCTGCTGTGCGGTTGGGACCAGAATGGGGAGGACAGGTACTTACTCGATTTTTCTTCTTTGATGGTATATTCTAGCACCTCAGACGAGCTCTCCTTCAGGGAAGGGAAGTGAACACACAGCACCAGGTGCTTCAGGCTGCTGTCCCGGCGGACCAGGAACATCTGAAACCACAGGAGGGGAAGGAGATCCATGAATCAGAGATTTGGGTGGAGATGAGGACAGCAGTGAGATGGAAGTCATGGGAAGGTCCTAGAATGAGGAGGCAGAGTGGGGTGGTGAAGCCTCTCTCGGGAGCCAACCTGGCCCATGTCCAAATTGAGGATCCTGGCACTTCAATTTCTCACCTGCTCACTGAGTCGGTCAACTAACCCAGCGTACTCGAAGGTTGCTGTAGACACAGAGTTAGGGACGATGCCCTGGCCCCCTGAGATGCTGGTTCTGTAGGATGGGCCTGAGTCAGCTGACAATGATGTAGATGGTCCAGAGTTCACACTTGGAAAAACTCTAGTGTACTGGAGTGGGGTTGATTTTCAACTCACACCCCAGCATGTTTGATCCAGGGGAAGATATTGAAAATAATCACAGATATCAGTCAATTCGTACTCCCCCCCCCCCATGAAAACAGAAGTAGCTCATAGTTAATATAGAGCTCTGTCTGTGACAGGAACTGTTATGACACTTGACATTGTATATTAACTTGCTCCGTCTTCTCCATCACCCCATGATGTGAGTCTTGTTCTTATCCTTGTCTTACAGATGAAGAAACTGAGGTGCTCTGATCAAAACAGCACACCTCCTCCTTGAGCTGGTGTGGTAACTGAGTTAATACCTGTAAGCACTTGGTCCATGAAAGGGACCTGCTGTCTTTCACAAGGAGATGTGCTGTTTTAAGATGTCCTTTTTAGTCTGCGCTGGCCCTGAGCATGCTGATCCTTCCTTCTCCAGTGATGCCTTCTAGAATCTCCCCAGCCTGGGGGCACAATGTCTCTCCACCCCTTCTAAACTTGTCCCTGCCCCTGCAGTCTGAGCCTCTCCAGCTCAGCCCCCTTCACCTGAGCCAGAGGGTAGAAAACCAGGATCTGGCCAAGGCTACCGAGGGAAGGCTGGGGAGCAGGGCCAGTGGGACATCCCAGAGAAATGAGGCTTTCAAGGAGTACTTCCTTTCCCCACCAAAGCATACTCTGCCATGTCACCCTTTGGTGAAGCTCCAAATTCTGCTGTCATTGCTATTGGTTACTAGTATTTTAAAGGAAAATAAAATTCTCAGGACCGCCCCCTCCCAACTCCTTACGCAAAAGGGAAGGAGGCAGAGCCATGCAACACCTGCTGAAACTGCCCTTACAAATTAATAAAGGGGTACAAGGTGAGAGCTAGAGTGAGGGCCCCAAAGCTCTGTGAACTTAGCTAAAATAATAATCAGCCAGTGTTCCATCATTTGCTTGATAATAATCACTGTTCCCGCTGTTTGCTTCTCTACTCTGGAGTCAAGCATAGTTGGTGGTGCAGAACATTGCATCACCTGTTGGGAACCTACGAGTAGTTTTTGAGGTATCTTCCAGGTCCAGCATTCCAGTGACAGACCCACCCAGACCAAGGAACTGACTCAACTGATCTTGCACACTCCCCCCACGGACCTGCATTCTAGTAACTGACCCTCCCAGACAGTGGCCTATACCAACCAAAGAACTGATGGCTCTGCCCTAAAACCAGACATTTAGCAGACCCTGATTGTCTAATTTTCTGCCCATCAAACTGTCTTTAAAAACTCTGGCCTCCCCAATTCTCAGAGCGGTATATTTGAGAAATTCCTTCTACCTCCCTCCTTAGCACTCTGAGGGATAAACTCTGTGCTGTGAACCCTGCTGTCTCTGGGTAATGGCTTTCCTCGGCAGATGAACTTGGCTAGAGGGCAACACTGCTTCCAAATGAATGACTGTTACCAACATCAGGCATCAGCCAGATCCACAGAAAGGCAAAAGGCCTCAGGCATCTATAAGGATTGCCTCCAGGGATCATTCATAAGCAACTTCGTTGCTGGCTTCCTATAAACAAAAACATGCAAACTGTAACTTTGGGATACAGGCTAAGTCTAGCTTCTAAAATTACAGTCTGTTCCATTCCACACTAATAATGAATTACAAGTTTATCTTCCCAGGTGCAGGACAGAGACAAGATCAAATGTTCTTCCACCTACCTAGGGAAATCTACATAAACTGATGCTTCCTTCCCTCTCTTTTCCTCTTAAAACATTTGTGTTATCTTATGTAAAATGCAGATTTTCTGTCCCTCTCAAAATGTAACTATTTTGCCTCACTGCCCACCCTCTTGCTCAGTTTTTTATTTCTGTATGCCCTATCCCCCTTAAATACTGAAGCTCCCAAATTCCCTGAAATAGTTACAATTTGTCTGTGGTTTGCGGTTTTCTCAGGTACATCCTCAAACTTTGGCTTATTAAACATCCATTTCTGAAGATTTTTTGCCTTGGTCACTTATTTGGGGTTGTCATAATTATATTGCTATACCATCAGAATCATTAATATAATATGATTATTATTAATAAAACACTATAATAATAATGCTATTATTGATTAATAGCAGCTAATATATGTTGCCTCCCTAGTCTGCCCCAAGCCCAAACACCAGTGCTTTAGATTCCGTGATCTCATTTACTTCTCTCATTAAACTGATGGGGGAATGCCATCATTATCTCTATTTTATAGGTGAGGAAACTGAGGCAGAGAGAAATAAGTCACGTTCAAGATCATAGTGTAGTGAACTGCTGTAGCTGAGATTTGAGCTCAGGGCCTTTGATTCTAGATTTTGGGCACTCAAATTCCGCCCTGCCTGGTTTAAAGAGGGTGACCTTTCAGCTTAGGACCCTGATCTCTCTGCAAAAACAACAAATCCATTAGTCACTGAACCTCAGTTTGTAATGAGGTGAGCAGCCCTTCTCTTTGACAGGGCAGATTAGAGACAGCATGAGAACCAGAAGCCCACAGAGGGAAAGGAAAGAGGGAGTGAAATGAGAAATAGGCAGGGGTGATGCCAGCCTGGAAGGGAGTTTGCCAAGAGGGCCCCAGCAGGATGTTCTTACTTCTAGAAGCTCTGTCAGCCTCGGCTCCCCACTCTGAGACAGTGCCTCAACTCAGCCACAGCCCTGCCCTATTTTGAGCTGCAGCATCACTGAACTTATGCATTAACCTGAACTTGAACTGACCCCAGGGCATTTCATCTTTCAAAGGGAAGAGGTCACTTTGCCTCTTCATAGGTCTAAGGTCGAGCTGCCTCCTCCCCTACTAGGCTCAATGAGGGAATGTGAGTGTGTGTAGGAGTGAGTATGGTATAGTAAAAAAAGCATATCTGGTCTTTGTCCCCATTCCTGGCACAGAGCTTCAAAAACTTTTGGAATTTCCTGAGCCATAGGAATGTCTTTTGTTACTCATAATGGAGCCCTTTTGACCTTACCAAAGTTTATGCTAACAGGGACTCCTAGTCCACAGAAAGAACAAGCACACAATTAAAGGATTAGAACGTTCAGCCCCACCCCTGACTTCCAGAGAAGAGAAGTCCTGGAGATTGAGTTTAATAACATGGCCAGTGATTTGATGGATCCACCTAAGAGATGAAACCCCAATAAAACCTCTGGACTTCAGAGCTCAGTGGTCCTTCCTGGACGCACTTATGTGCCAGGAGGGCGATGCTCCTGGCTTCTAGAAGAGGCATTGGGGGGGGGGCGGGGCGGCGGGTCTGTGCCTAGCTGCCCCAGACAGTGCCCTCTGTGCCTCATCCATCTGGTGGTTTTATCCTTTATACTAAAACTATAATTTTAAGTATAGCACTTTCAGTACATTCTGTGACTTGTACTATCAGAGTGTCAAACCTGATCAGGGGAGCCCCCAAATTTGATTCCAAGTCAGACAGAAGTCCAGTTAGCTTGGTGACTGCACTTGTGGCTGTCATCTAAAGTAAGAGCAGCCTTTGGGGTCTGTACCAACTTCAGGTATTGTCTAAATTGAATTGCTGTACATCCAGCTGGTGTCAGAGATTTGGTGTCAGAACACAGAGAGTGATTGAGTGTGGGTAAGTATTGTGAAATTAAATAATTCAAACTGAAAACTATTGGGACTTCAAATTATTCTTAGCTCTAAAAGGAATGTGGCTATGCAGCCTGGGTCACTCAGCATGTAGCTGCAACTTCTGCCTTTTTAATTCCTGTGAGTAATTAAGACCAAATGGCGTCAGAGGCAAGGCCCTCTCAGAACAAATGCCTCTGAGAGGCAAGGCCCTCTCGGTCTGCAAGGACTAATAGAGTAATCTTCCTTGGAATGCAGCAATCTGTAACCACTGCATGCGCTGTGGTGTGTGCACTGGTGTGGTAGGAAAACGGCTGTGCTCCTGCTAAAACTGCTATCTCTGCCTCTATAAGAGAAATCTTACTTTCTCCACTTCAGAGTGCTGACACTGTTCATTTGGGGTGAGATAGATGGCTATCCTCAAGCTTTGCGCTTAAAAAAAAAAGATATTTAGTCATATTTTCCAAATCTTATTATTTAAAGTCAGCAGTGTATGAGTGTGAGTGTGTGTGGGGAAAAGTGTGGTATATATGTGTGAGTGTGTGTAGGGGTGTGTGTGTGGGGGAAACATGGTGTGTGCAGGTGTGTGTGAGCAGGTGTGTATGTGATTGTGGTGTGTGTGAACCGAGTGCACTCTGGAGTGCCCCAGGGCTGCCCTGCTGAGCAGCAGCTACTGATGGCCCTGGGCAGCCTAAAAAAGAAAACTTTGACCCTTGACCCTTAGGCAGGGTTGAAGCTGGGGGCCTGGCACCCTCCTGAAATGAAACTAAACAGAGGGTTTCTGTCTTGAGAGAGAAAGTGCTCCCTTTACACAGGTGATGCCTGTGTGAGAGGACCTGTGGCCAGGGAGGGGGTTAGGAGCACATGCACACAGCAGAGCTGCCCAAGCTGCTCCTCCTGTGTCAGGGATGGCTCGGAAAGGAAGGAAGGCCAGTGTTCTTCAAACTGGGGCCATGACCCTTTGGTGTGAATGTTACCAATAATTTCTTTTTCCAAAATAAAACTGAAGACCCCTGTCTGTAATGTGAGTAGAGTCTTTGTTAGTGGTAGGGTCTACATGGGCCACGGTTATAATACAACATACCGAT